GCAAACAGACCACAAATCACTACAGTATCTATGCGCGCAAGCCAATCTCAACCCCTGACAAATCAAGTGGCTCAACTTTATAAAGTCACATTTCTATTGTTGGATCACCTACAAAAAAGGGCACAAATAACATCGCTGACGCCTTGATTGTCCGACAGTTCAATTTGCTGCAGTATTGATCATCCATTTGAACCAGCTACTTACGCGACTATTCTCCCACGGCTACACGACCGACCCGTTCTTCATGGCAGGATGTCACTAGCAAGCGAGGACGCAGAAAATTGACTTTTACCTACAAGCCGGAAGTGATCGGATTTAGGTACCCACTTACCTTGTACTGCGTGAATTACTTATTCAAGAGGTCCACAATTCCAACCTCTCCAGACATATTGTAGTTGATAGGACGCAGAAAATTCTGCATCGTCACAAAAGTCTGACGTGCTGCAATATGTGTCCTTCTGCAGAGTGTGTCAAGCCTGTTGCAACCCCTCGAGCCAACCGAACGACTATGGCAACAGGTGATGATGGAATTCGTCAAAGGGCTACCAACTGGCACAACAACAACAACAACAATATTGTTTTTGTTATCATCAATCGCCTCACAAAAATGGTGCAGTTCGCACTTTGGAGATAACTCCATCAACGGAAGCCTGACTACGGGAAAGGCACGGAGTAGGAGTGATTGTAGCGTTTGTTCCTTAGTTGTTTGATTGTGCGTTCACTGCTTGCACATTCACAGGGAAATTTGGCAAGAGTTTCACTAGCAAAAGTTGACAACAATGATCGCAATAACATTGGCATGCAATACCACATCAGAGCTAGCAAGCATGCAGGTCGACCTCCAGCGCAGCACGGTCGACCGCGTTTCAGCGCAGCATTGCTCGCACCGCTCCAGCGCCGCAAAGAAGCAACGCGCCAACGTTGCAAGTCAGCGGCGTGCCATCGCTGAAGTAAGTCGGCTGCAAAGCGTTGCACCTGTATGACAACGGTGCACCTGCTTCGCAGGTGAGCATGGCTGGTTGGTGTGCCAAACCCGGTTACGTGCACAGCGCAGACGCCAGGCCGAGAACACACCAGCGACTGCGCCCACCAGCCACGTCGACCTCGGGATACCACTTCCGAGGTCGGCCTCGCAGAAACCTCCTGGGCGACCGTCGCGCACTTCCGCTGATCCCCGTCGCCCGGGTAACCTGGTCGACCAAGCAACCACCAATGCAGCGTTGCCTGGTGTGCCCGGCGTCGACTAGCTGCTTCTCCTTGTGCCCGGCAACCACCCAAGTCATCGACCACGTTCCGGTCGCCGGCTGCACCATGTCGGCGTCCCCAAAGTCGGCTCCGGGAAGTTGAGGACTCCGTGGTTGACCTTGCCAGGTCGACCACTCGCACCTTGGCGCCTTCCATCCTGGCCTCCCATTGCCATCGATGTCGGCGCCCGCCTTCGTCGAACACATCCTCCGGCCTCCCATCGTCGGCGGTTACGCAGTGGCTCCGTGCGGGTCGACCACCCCCAGTCGACCAGCCCGCCAAGTCGGCGTCGCCCACTGCAACAAATCGGCTGCACACGCCGCACGTCCGACCACGAGGTCGGCTCTGCCCAAGCAAGGACGGGCCAACAACAACTCCCATTGACACGCACAACAATCACAGCCGAATAAACTGCGCGTCTATTTATCTCTAACATTGTAGGACGTCACAGAATCCCGTCAGCGATTGACAGCAGCCGCAACGCAAAATTTACGTCGAAGTTCTGGAAAGAGACATGGGCGCAGTATGGCACAAGATTCAAATTCTACCACCTGCACAGCCAGACTGAGCTGACAAATCAGACAATGGAACAGCTCATTCATATGAACTGCTACGACCTTGTTTGATGGGGAATTCCCCTCTCAATGCTGGAATTGGCGTACAACAATGCCCCGTGCAACACGATCAACTACTCACCGTTTTTCCTGAACTACGGAATAACATCACCCTATAGTACTTACAATAACATCACTTGAGTACTCGGTACCACGATCACAACAATCTGTGACGGATCCCCATAACATCCGCGAGAAAGCTATCGAAGTCATTTGGAAAGCAAATGCAATTGCCCGCAAATACACTGATCTCCTATGATGGGAAATCGCTATGGTTGCAGGACAGCTAGTGCTACTCGATACCAAGAACCTTTGATTGCATGTCTCGCCAAAACTTCAGCCGTGATACTGCGGACCTTTTTGCATTGTGAAAATGATTACCCTGGTGACAGCGAAACATCTGCTGCCGGGCGACAGGCGTGTGCACGATGCATTCCAAGTCAGCCTTTTGCAGTCTTTTGTCGCTGCCACAATGGACATCGCCCACCAATGTGCCTCACCAACAGCTCGATCTGTCCCTGAAAAAGCACTCAACCTGTCAAAAATCTTGGAGCATTGCATTCGACTCGACGCGCCGGGCGCCACATGGACTTTTTGATTCGTTGGACCGGCGGCAACATTCAGGACGACACTTGGGTGCCATCCACCTTGCTTGAAGCACCTTCGCTCCTTCTCGATTATCTCACCCGGAAGCGTGTTGCGGATGTCGACCCCGAGGGTAGTGCAAGGAAGGTTCAATTTCCCTTATCGAGGTTTACTGCTTTGCGTACAACCCCAACTTTTGGACTTGCATGTTTGTTTGATATTAGCGTTATCGAGGCTGCCTTGTGTTGCCTTCGGTTTTCCCATTGCCCATCATGCACCCAACTTCATGCTCCTGAGGTCCCCGCCTAGCTAGGGTAGTCGCTATATTATCCCCCGTCCTTCATTGTATTGTTGTGAGAGTACGACGGCTTATGCTAGCTTTGCATGCTTGCCCTGACTATATTATGGTATTTCTCGCTTAGGTTTATATTATCATGCATGAAAATGTTCGATTTCCTAGGTTAGGTGCTTTTCTATATTTTATTATAGTTATAGCACCGAACCAGGATGCGTGTACCAAATTCCAGGCCCTTCGGTTGCCATAGAATTGCCTTTTATCGAATTTGGGAAGGTTCCTGTTCGGGACGCTTCGCGACCCTTAGAACATTCGCGTAACACCTGGGTTACTGGCCTTGTGTCGAGACTATATAAAACCCTTGTGTTGTATCCAGGTGGATCAATCAATTCATTTCTACTTTTCTGAACTCGATCCTTGATCCTCACACTTCGTAATCAGAGCTCGTTTACACGCGAAGTTCTTTCGACCACTATTACTAGTCTTAAAAAAACCATGGGGGCGACGAACGTTAAACACCGATTACGGGTACGTAAAACCGGTTCCGTGTTTTTCACTCCCCCTTGTTTTCGGTTTTCAGACGCGATGTCAGGCATGGAGGGCGTAGGCGACAATTTTGTAGCAGAGGTCGCAACCCTTCGCACGGATATGGACCAAACGCGAGCGGCACTCCAGCGAATACATGCGCTCCTCGCGAACCAGTTGGCAGCCGCCACAGCAGTAGCGAACGCAGCAGCGAATGCAGCAGCGACGGCAGCAGCAGCAGCGGCGACACCGACATAAGTTTCATGCAGCACTGGCACCAGCTTTGCCGAACCTTGAAGCAGCTCGCCCGAGGCTCTCGGAAGCGTACGATCCGAGCACAATATGATCGGACGTTTGACGATTCGTGGCTACACTCGAAATTTATTTCGAGGCCGTTGG